TGTCCTGTGTGTAATCTTAGGGTGTGCATGCACTGTGTGTGGTCTCAGGTTGTGCATGCCCTGTGTGTGGTCTCAGGCTTTGTGTGCCTTTTGTGCGGTCTCACGCTATGTGTGCCCTGTGTGGTCTCAGGATTTGTGCGCCCTATGTGTGGTCTCAGACTTTGTGTGCCCTGTGTGTGGTCTCAGGTTGTGCATGCCCTGTGTATGTGGTCTCAGGCTTTGTGTGCCTTGTGTGTGGTCTCAAGCTTTGTGTGACCTGTGTATGGTCACAGGTTGTGCATGGCCTGTGTATGTGGTCTCAGGCTTTGTGTGCCTTGTGTCTTCTCTCAAGCTTTGTGTGACCTGTGTGTGGTCTCAGGTTGTGCATGTCATGTGTGTAGTCTCAGACTTTGTGTGCATTTTGTGTGGCTTTAGGCTTTGTTTGCCTTGTGTGTGGTCTCAGGCTTTGTGTGCCCTGTGTGTGGTCTCAGACTTTGTGTACCCTGTCTGTGCTCTTAGGCTTTGTGTGCCATATGGGTGGTCTCAGACTGTGTGTGCCTTTTGTGTGGTCTCAGGGTGTGCGTGCCCTGCGTGTGGTCTCAGGGTGTGCGTGCCCTGCGTGTGGTCTCAGAGTGTGTGTGTGCCCCGTGTGTAGTTTCAGGGTGTGCATATCCTGTGTGTGGTCTCTAGCTTCCTGAGAACTGTGTGTGCTTTTAACATGCAAGCTCTTCAGAGTCTGTGTACTCCAATGGAGGCACAGAATAGCACCTAAGGGTGAGAGACACAATCACACTGGAGGATACTGTAACAATACAAAAGAGAGTATGGAGATGGGGTGGAGGGATGCCACAATGAGAAGGAGAATAGAGTGGAAGGTAGTGCATGAGCCCTGAGAGTGTAAAGTTGAATGAAATCTCCAGTGCTGTGTGGACAGTTTACTTCTCAGTATGTATTCGTATTCTGCCTGTACACACACTGCATGGTATAACTTCTCTTGTTCTGTGTGTAATTCTCAGCATCTATTCCTATTGTGTATGTATGGAGGTTGTACATAGCAATTCTGTTGTCCTGTATGCTGGATGTAAATGTCAGTATGTGGTCTTATCCTATATGTATGCAAAGACACTAAGCTGAGCTTGCATTCCATACTGCTTACTGCTCCTGTATAAGTGGATTATACACACACATTATCACCTCATACAGTAGGAAAACAGCAAGTCATTTGAAACAACATTGTGGGGGGAATTTATCACAACTGGAGCAGACAGAATCTGCAGCAGTTGCCCATAGCAGTAAATCAGCTTCTATCTTCAGTTTGTTCAGTTAAGCTTTGAAAATGAAAGATTGAGGCTGATTGGTTGCCATGCACATCTGCTCCAGATTCTGTATTTACACCTCCTGCAAAACAACACAACAATTTACAGTACACAGATAACTGCAGATAACCTTTTCTCATCCAGGTAAAACAAGATGCTGTTATGTATTTGTAGTATGAATCACCCTGCACATACCTCAGTCTTAGCCATATACAAGCTACAGCAAAGGATTTCCCGAGCCCCGTGATTCAGTGTGCCTTATAGCTAACCCTTTCTACTCCAGATGAAACTCTATGGACGTTGTGTGCATCACATGGGGCAGCAGCAGTGATTCCAACCCCCTGTAGCCCTGGGGTGTGTGTCTGTCAGAGGCTCTTATTGGAAACTGGGGGATTGGGGGAACTATTCAAAAGTGTCTGAGACCGAGACAAACTTTGTCTCAACTGGAGTAAAATGAAAGATGGAAGCTGATTGGTTGTTATACTAACTGCACCAGTTGAGAAAGATCTCGTATTAGATGGTTTTTAAACAATCCTCCGGGGTGTCTACAGACAGGAAGGGTGCCTGCTGCAATGCCCTTCAATGAAAAATCAAAGGCACCCAGTGGGGAGGGGAGGATAGAAGTACTGTGTCTCAATAAGCAGTGGCGTCACAAGGGGGTGCGGCCCGCACCCGGGTGACACCAAAATGACCCACAGTCATTTTGGTGTCACCCCCCTCTGAAAAGTGGGGCGCTCGGTCATGGACCGAATGCCCGTCAGTATCAGGAGGGAGGAGGATGACCCCTCCTCTCTCTGCTGGCGTCCATCACCAAGATGGCCGCCGGCAGGTATCAGAATACTGCCGCGCGTGCGCGATGACGTCATCGCGCATGCGCAGTGACGTCTCGGCGGGGTGACACTCGGTTACCGCTCCGGGTGTCACCCAGCCTCGGGACGCCCCTGCCAACAAGCACCAGAGACAGAAGCAAAGGGGACAGTAAATAAATTGAGGCTGGATTTCTGATTTAACACGTCTGCGTAGCACCATTTTTTTGTAGTGCATGCTATAAATGAGCCATGACCTTAAGAAGTCTCACCATGGCTTATCACTTTCTTATCCCCCCTATAAACTGTTCTCCCAGGGTGACATACACTATATTGCCAAAAGTATTGGGACGCCTGCCTTTACATGCACATTAACTTTAATGGCATCCCAGTGTTAGTCCGTAGGGTTCAATATTGAGTTGGTCCGCCCATTGCCGCTATAACAGCTTCAACTCTTCTGGGAAGGCGTCCACAAGGTTTAGGAGTGTGTCTATGGGAATGTTTCACCATTCTTCCAGAAGTGCATTTGTGAGGTCAGGTACTGATGTTGGAAAAGAAAGCCAGACTTGTAGTCTCCGCTCTAATTCATCCCAAAGGTGTTCTATCGGGTTGAGGTTAGGTCTCTGTGCAGGCCAGTCAACTTCCTCCACCAGGGGCGTATCTGCCGCGAGGCAAACAAGGCGTTTGCCTGGAGCGGCCGATTCCCTGAGAGCGTCACTTGCTGTGGTTCTCTACCCTTGATAAATTTTCAGCGGTCGTGTCTGGCAACCACCAAACCCAGACACATCCATCGGATTGCCAGACAGAGAAGCGTGATTCATCACTCCATCACCAAGTGCTTTGCATTGCACTTGGTGATGTAAGGCTTGGATGCAGCTGCTCGGCCATGGAAACCCATTCCATGAAGCTCTCTACACACTGTTGTTGTACCAATCTAAAGGCCACATGAATTTTTGAGGTCTGTAGCTATTGACTCTGCAGACAGTTGGTGACTTCTGCGCTCTGTGCGCTTCAGCATGCGCTGACCCCGCTCTGTCATTTTACGTGGCCTACCACTTTGTGGCTGAGTTGCTGTTGTTCCCAGTTGCTTCCACTTTGTTATGACACCACTAACAGGTGACCGTGGAATATTTAGTAGCAAGGACATTTCACGGAACACCTGAATCCAATGATTTGGAGGGGTGTCCCAATACTTTTGGCAATATATTGTATCTGTGTCTGTATAATAGACTTAATCCTGTAAACCTAAGCTATAGCCCCCAACCCTTACCTGTACTTCTATAACCCTAAAGTGACACTAAACTCAGGAGTTAAATCTGACAAATCACTCCTGTGATGGACTACAATCTCACATTTAGTTTACTAATTTGTATTGAGATTGTAGTCCATCACGGGAGTGAGCTTAGAGCAGTGGCTACTTTACAACACACACTCTACAAAGACTAGCGATGCTGACACTCACCAGCCACAGTATCACTAAACAGAACTCTCACCTGGTCGTATGACATAATTTCCTTGCTGGCTGGACCGCAGCACAATCTCCAGTCAAGGAGTGTCCCCATAGAGGCAGATAAGTGTGAATTTACTCTTTGCTGCCAGTGAGGTTAGGTTTGACCAGTGACAGGATTGCTAGTGTGTGGTGGCCCTTACTGCTAGGGGTAGGCAGGAGAGGTGACCACCTTGGGTGCTTCATCAGGAGCAGGGCACACAAAGCACAGGAGTGGCAACCTATGCTGCTGAGGTAGTCCACAGGGGAGAGGATGCATTATGTTCTTTACTCCTTGTCACAGCACTGCTTACAACTTACAGGTTCCAGGCTGTTTGTGACCATCGCCTTCAGCTGGAAGCACCAATTTACATAGAGCAGCCCACTCATTTCAACGGGCTGCCCTACAAGCAAGACAAAAGCTCATTCATCTTTCCGAGCATCAAACGTTGTGCAGTTTTCAACCATGTATTTGCATGAGAAAAACATGAATCATGCTTGGCATGTTTGGGGTGCCATTAACAATGAATGTCACTGCAAGTGTGACGTATGTTATACAATTGTTCTCTATGTGCCCTTGCGTTGAGCCCCTGTTGATCTATGGGGATCAACGCAACTCAATAAGGGCAGAAA